CGTGTTTCCTGCAGCAGGAAGAAGAGAAGGCTCTCACTGCAGGTCCGGGCAGGTAAGGAAGTACGAACCAGCTGTTCAGTCACCTCTGGGGGCAGACATGGGGCTGCTGTAATGTTGAGCCAATACATGTTTTTCCTTATTTAAAAGAAATATTTCAAGGCTTAATCTTTTTTTTGGGATAACACTCTGCACTGTAGAAACCTCCCTGAGCCAAAGCAGGAGGGGGATAGGTGATACCAGAACCCTAGCTCTACTCGACTCCTCTCTATAGCCCAAGTACCATTGTTTCTAGCTCAGCGGCAGGGAGCCACATAGCCAGATATTGACACCCCCTGCCTCTGCCTGAATGAACTCCCCTCTGTCTGTACAGCAGCCCTGATTTGGGATCTTCAGCCACTTCCTCAGTTAAGATGTAATCAGCCATATGTTCACAATTTTGATTTTTAAAGCTAGCGAATCCCCCATGCGTAATCATCGCCCTGGGTACAGGTTTATCAGCAGCCCATGTGCCACAAGGGGCATAAGCCCATGGTACATGTTTTCCCTGATGTGCCGCAGATTACTACTCCGCTAGGGCAGTAAGCTCTTCTTGTTCAGAGGGGCTTTGCCACCAGTCACCTCTCCAGGCTCTGCCGAAGCTGTGGCCACTGTACAGAGAGGCTCCTTCATCGCTTTCCTTGGGGTCTGGTGGCACAAAGCCAACGGGGAAGCTCTCTGAAACATGCACCTCTCCTCCTTCCCTGACCCAGAGAGTGTGCACATGTGCTCTAACAAGTCTACAACAAAACAGGCACTGTTCCTAAGCACGCATCTTGGCAGATGGTATCAGTCAGCACCAGCCCAGAAAGCGGAGCTCAGGACCTTTTAGTGGTAACAGACACACCAAAAAATCACCACTGCCATCACAAAGGGTTTGCTTCCCAAACTGATGACAGTTCCCAGTGCTTGTGCCCATTTGTAACACAAACCAACGGGGTGACCAGCTGGGCTCAGTGGATCGGCCATGCTTGCGGGAAGTCACTGGTTTGTTGGCTTCATCCTCCCCAGTCTCAGCATGATCCCAGAGCAGGGACAGGTATTGTTCATGCATTGATGGCATTGGCAACGTCTGTGAACACAAGACGGCTGGGTCTCTGGAGGGCTCCTTGACTTGTCAGCAGAATCTGCATTGAAGCAGTGAAAGATGAGACCCAGCAAGTCTGCCTTTGCTCAGGTGCACGTGCTTGGGCACAGACTGCACAGTATCATAACTGCATTCCGCCCCTTACTAAGGGGAGGCTGGCTGACTAACGCGGCATTAACAAGGCAGTGACAGAGAAATACAACAGGCCAGAGAGCAAGTCAGCACATCCATGCCAGTATAAAATCCCCACACCACTGGATTACTGGGTGTCACTATTTATATACACAAGGCAGCATAAAAAGACTTGAAACACCAAGAAGGCCTGGAAACATGCCACAGACTGGACTTTGGCTGTTGTTTTAGACTCTGCCTCTCTTACTATGTTAAGCCTTTAAACTTGTGTACTTTCCAAGCAGAGGTATTTGTGCATTAGCAGGCTCTGGAGGGATCTGAGGTATGCTGTTGGCCAGTCTCTGTATAGGAAGGATCTGTTTTTATTGTGCTAAGTTTAACTCTGGCCTTGTCATTTTCCCCCTTTACTACCTGAAGGGAAGTCCTCTATATGCACTAATAGAGGGATCTGATGTTTTCCTAGTAAGGGCTACTTCTTGCTTTCCCAAACCAGTGTATAGAATATGTTGTGTGTGTTGAAATATGAAAGACAAGTCTTCTTGTTTGTGCTCATTAGCAGGTTGGGAAGCATGTCTCAAGGTCAATATCTGAAGGTGGAAAGTGTGTGGAAAGTGAGAATTGTTTAGGAGAACTCCTGCTCCTGGAACTGGAAAAGCAAGGGAAGACATGGGCAACACAGAGCAGATGCACAGGAATTCAAGAAAGGAGAAATGTCTGCTCTAAGGGGAGGCTGCGTCACTGGCTGAGACGCATACCTGTTCCAACCATCCCTGCTGGCTCTCTTTCAGAAAGGCTTTTTGTGTGGTGGTGGTGACAAAGGAAACAGAAAACCCTGTGAAGCTGGTTGCAAACGATGGTGAGAAGCCCTTCTTCCCTATTTCTCCTACCTCGTGGTACACTGGGGAAGGAGATAGCCTCTTGTCAAAGTATCCATCTGGATCATTAACCAAAAACAACTGGCCAAGCTACCAAGCTCCTTCCTAACTCACAAATGCAGTTAAGTTGGTGGTCTCTGAGGACCTTACCATTTCTCAGCATGCCGCATGCCTTTGAACACTCAGAAGTGGTCAAAACAAAGCCTTCTTCCCCTCTCCCCAAATTCAAATAGACAGCTCTCCTCCCTTTTCTCTTTCTGAGCCGTGCCTGCTCTGTGCCCACCAAAGTTGGCCTGGAGGTGCTGACAAGACCAGTTGTTGCCATGTCACAACGATGAGCAGGCTTTCTGCCTGCGTTCTTCAGGGCTTGCAGCACAGTCAACTGTCCTGACTACAGGCCTTGCCTTAGCAAGGCCTTGTTCCACACTTGCATCCTGAGGCAAAGCAGGCATACCTTAAAACTGAGTGGACGTTATTTGCTTTTTGGGGCCGGGGCAAAGGAGCCTCAGCGCTTTGTGGGCGTTGAAGTCCCATCTCCGAGGAAATGGCATTCATCCTACTGCTCCCCTGTGGTGCCCTGGGTGGTTAACTGTGGTAAACTCACCCTTAATTACTGAAGTTGCCCTTGTCTCTCTCCTAGTTGAGTAGAGCCAGCACTTTGCCTTCCCAGGCTCTCTGTCCTTGTTGCCTGACTCTTCAGTCCATCCTAAGCACTCCAAAATGCTCAAGCCCCCTATCTCCAGAGCTAGCGGAGATGGGGGAAGTCCTCCTGAGGTCTTACATGGTTTCCTTACCCTACAACAACTCTTTGTAACAAAAGCAGTGCAGGTACCAGTGGTTGTAGTAACAGACTCGCTGGTCCCTGCTGCCTACCTTGCTCTGTGATGCCTGGGAAGATGCTGCATCCCGCCCATGTTCCAGCAGCTCCTGCTCCAGTTCATCCTGTTCCTCGGTGGGATCAAAGTTGTACATGGGCATGAGCTGGTGCCGTAGTTTCTCCAGCCTGCCCAAGGGAGAGAAGAGAAAGGGTTGGTTGAGAAGGACAGATGCTCAGGCTGCCTTCCCCACCCCACTGCTGAGGCTTTCTGTAGGCTCTTTCTCCTGCTGCACAGAGATTCTGCTCTTGTTGCTGCTTGCTGGGTAACGGTCGTGTTCTATCCTGCAGGGATGAGGATAAGAACCTACTACACGCAGCTGGCAGAAGTGGAAGATACCCATGGTGCAGTTATGGGGATTAACTGCTGTCACTAATCCATGTTGGCAGGCATTATGCACAGAGGAATCAGACAGGAATTTAAGTTCCTTCAGATCTTAAAAGATCAAGCTTTATGTGGTGGGACAAAAAAGAGACAGTGGAATGTACTGGCTAGGCATTTTGCAACTTCTCCCCCTGTCCCTCTGCCCACAACAGCCAGTCCTGCCATGTCTTCTGCCATGCAGAAGTCCACTTTTCACTCCAGTGGCCTAACAGTAGTACTTTAACCCTGGGGTTGAAGGACATAAAAATAAATAGAAAATAAGAAAAAGATAAGATTCTCATAAGAGGCTGATGCTTGTGAAAGACTGTTCTTACCCTTCTATTGTTGCTCCAAGTGACAGAGCTATAAACTATTACCCCAAGGGATCTCCCTAAATACTGGACAGCTCAGAGACGGAGGATGGATGGGTGGGCATGCTCCTGTGAAGACACTGAGCCCTGCCTTAGGCTGTAGCCGAGTTTTGGGGGGTGGGAGAGGGAAACACACAACCAATTACTGGCAGTCTCCCCACAAATATCTATTTTGGCAAGCGTTAGGATGACACATTCCCTCCCTGCCTCTATATGGCTTTCCCAAAACAACCATTATCTCCAGCAGTGCTACGTTCATAGGCCAAGCATTAGCTGCTCCTGTGGCAGTATGAAGACCTGTGCTTCAGGGTCTGGCTTGGAAATTTTACAGTGGGCAGCAGCACTTCTTGAAATTCTGTGGCCAGGCCAGGCCTGTCAAAAGGAGTCAGGCAGGGAGGAAGTTCCACATCTAACGGCTCTTCACCAGGGTCTCTGCAGTCAGAGATGGAAGCAGTGGGACACGCATCTCCCTGCACGTTGCTCTCCTCTCTGTTTTCAGCCAGGATCTTAACAAGGAAATTGAGACACTAAGTCTTGGGCTAGAAAGTTGAATCTCTGCGCTATTCTACTGCCAGTTGCTGTGACTGCAGCTAAAGACTGCAAGGCCCGTGTCATTGCCCTGTGCTGCTGGAGAACATAGGGATCTGGGAAAGGCTGAAAGGGGAGATCCACGCCTCTCATGACAAAGTTCCCAGCTTCTTTATACAGTCATAATCCTTTTGTCTGGTTTAGTGCATCTTGTAGATGAAGCATAAAGAGTTTTCAGGTCCCTAACCTCCTCCTGCTCAACCATGTTTTCCTTTCCAAAGCTGTGCAGGAGTCTTTGAAGCTCTGGTGTTAGAAGGTGGGCCAGAACCAGGAGTGCAGTGTCCCTACCTCTGCCTCATTCACATGCAGCTGATGCCCCATAGGCTTTTTCTCAGACAGCTATCCCTTACACTCTCCCTGTCTCCTTCCTAGCTCTCTCTGGATTTTGAAGCACTGAGTTCCCTTCAGCCAACAATAGACATTACTTACCTCTTCCTCTTCCTGATATACAGAACCTGATGGAGAAAAAAAAACCATCATTACATCAGCCCCAGTAGGATGGGGAACAGCTGAGAAGAGAAATTTTGGGCACAGGGCACACTGAAAGGAGGTGTAGCAAGTCTGGTGTCACTGTGCACCAAAGCCAGGGGGAAGGGAGAAGTGACAACTGAAAATGAAATTTCATATTCAGCGGCATAAGTTCGGTAGCAGATCATGCCTGACACTGAGTGCACGAGTGGCCTGTTATTAGACGTGTTAGTAGTAGTAGGAGTATTAGGTGTATTATTATTAGGTGTAGCTCAGCATGTTTCTGGTGGCTGTAGGATGTATGTTGCAATTTAAGAGTGGATGAAGAACTTTCCCTTTGTGGTTTTCACCTGTGGATTTCCTACAGCGTAGAAGTGCTGTTACCCCCTCCCCAGTACAAAGGGAAGAAGCAAAGCGGGCATGCTCAGTGACTTGCCTCTTGTCAGCCAGTAAGAGTGGCTGCGCTGGGAAGAAAGCGAGGCTTTTGGCCTCCAGAGCCTTGTTCTGAGAACTACGAACGCTGGATGTTGCTCTTGGGAACTTATGACCGTTTCCGGGATAATGTTTGCAGGTTCTCTTAGGGGCTTTTGGAAAAACTCCTCCTTGGGCCTGCAATGAAATTTTGCAGTAGTCCCTTTCTGTAGGCTCCTCTGATGGTTATTGTTAGCGAAGCTCTTCCTCTTACGAGGAATGGGAGCTTGCCTTTACCTTCTGTTCTCTGTTGGCAGGTAAACGAACTGGTTATATATCAAAACAACAACTGCAGCACTTGCATTGCCCACGTCAGGCCCTGAACTATAGCTTCTGAAAGCTTCTGCCTACAGCGTTAATGGTAAGGTTAGTTACGCAGCAAATTCTCAGGGACTTTGCTGATACCCAGCAAGTAGGACCTTGGAAATGCAGTCCAGAATGAGTCTAGCTAAAATGGATTCAGGCTGCTTTAATTCAAAAAGGCGTGTCCACAGGGGAGATCAACATGATTTCAACAGTCTGCTTTAAAAGTTAATTTGGATGAACTTTCTTGTGGTGTCCCTGTGTTGACAAGGTTTAAATCAATGCAGCTGTTCCGGTTAACAAGTCAGAACAGAATCTGCTTCGTGTTCTTTTAACTGAACTTCCTATTGCTATTAAAAAGAAATACTCATACTACATATGGCTTCCTCTAGGCCTGCTGAGCATCCCGCTCTGGCGCGACCTCAGGAAGACTGTGGACTGGAGCATTGGATAAAGGCTTAAAAAGAAAGGGATCTCAGGAACTATCAGTTCCCAGCAGTTCTGGGTAAGTCTCTAGTAGAACACAAATAAATCGTTCAACCCAAATCAGTTCTAGAGCCCCTCTGCCACCCTCCACCCTCAACAGACAGAGAAATATTTAGCAGTGCTCTCTTACCATAGCTACAGCCAACCCAATGACAGTAATGATACCAAAGGACAGCAGCATTGTGCTCATGCCAGGTCCAGTGCTGCCCACATCCGGGATTTTGGTGCTGTTGAAACTGGTAGTCTCAGGGCTTATGGTAGCTGGTTCTCGTACAGTCACCTCCAGAGCTGTCCCTGGGTCTGGCTTAGGCGTGGTGGTGGTGCTGTGATACAAGTCATGCACAGAGGGTGAGCTGTAACTCATCCTGCCAGCTCTTGGTAGCTCCTTTTACCAAGCTGTTGTCCTCCCCCATCAGCTACAGAAGCAGAGAGCTGCCCTTCATATCATGGACCTTCAGGTGAGACCTGTCCTGTAGCATTGTCGCTGATGGTTTTTCTTCATAGGAACCACACTGGTTTCTGCCTAGGAAAGAATGAGAACAAATGAACAGTGCGGAGCTCTTGGAGACAGGCACAACCTTTTCCAAAGCTTCCCAATTCACTAGTACAAATTTTGAGAGCAGCTCACAGATAGCCACTCAAACTAAGAAAAAGACTTTTCAGTGGTACTGAGAGCCCCTGAAGTCATGCCTTATTGACCTGAAGTCAATGATACGCTCTCCCCTCACTGCTTCAGCTCTGCCTCCTTGCAGACACTTGGCGGATCTGTGTGAGGACAACCTCAGAACCCCCATCTTCGGTCTGCTCCAGGCTGAGCCAGGTGGCCTCTATCCACCCCAGGAGATACAGCGTTTTCCCACTTCTGTCTCTTGCTTTTAATTTTTGGAAACTTACGTGGATCCCATGAAGTTTATCAGTGGGAACACATTCAATAAAATGGCACTCAACTGTGAGGCATCCATATCTCATGATGCTTTTTACTGAATCCAAAGCAGGACTTTCTTGTTGTGGTAGTTACTGGTGACTGCTAAGTCACTGCAATATTTATTGCCCCACTATCTTTCCCTCATCCCATCCTGCTTCCTTAAAGCAGTGGGTTGCACCGGTCCCCCATCTGCTACTAAAGACAGCATTTCTCAAGTCCCCCATGAAAGCACCCACTCAAGCTTAGTCATGCACTGCTAATTACCAATATTAATTTTAAAATGAGTCCAATTTTGGATTGGAGTTGTGAAATTTGATAGATCTATTCATGCTGAAAACATGAAAGGCTTTAATTGCTTTATGCTTCTATTGTGCAAATGAACAGGAGTTGCAAAACACCATGGGATCATCCTACGGGAAGTATCTGCACAACTTTGTTTATAAAACCACTGTATATAACATTAGTTCAGCAATTGGTTCTGTGAAAATGCAGCTACCTCTGGGCCAGAGCAGTGCTGACCCTGAGAACTACTGTAGCAGTCCTCTGATAATTTCTCCGCAGTTTAGCAGACATTACATCTCTGGACTGGAATGCAGCCGGGACATAGGGGTTAATGAGCTCTGAATAGAAAAAGATGTGCCTGCAGAGAGAAATGAGCCATTGTTCTGCTCCACTCTGTTCTATTCTAGGCAAGGTTATTGCGCAGTTCCCATTACTGTGACGCCTAACTGCTGTCCCTAACTGCATTAAGCAGCGTGAGTAACATCTGTCACTAACAACTGAAGCAGAGAAATCATGCCAGGCAAACAGCAGCAGGCCGCCCCGTGGTCAGTCAGCAGCCTGAGGAGCCACCTTGGCTTGGACAGCACTTGTCCCGTGTCTCCCCGAACAGGTAAACCTCTTGCCATACATGCAGCATCTGTCTCGCTGCCAACAACTTTGTGAAACAGGAGTTGCTGGGGGATTCTGAAGTGCCTGGGAGACTGTGGGAGCTGTTGAACTCCCACAAGTTTCTAGAGCAATGTGAAGACAGGACTTCTGGTCTGGTCCCACCTAACATCACGCTGAGACACGAGTTGATTGCAGCTGAAAGGGACCGTGTCCTTCACTGACCACCAAACCATGCACGCCTCGTTTAAACCACCTGGATTTCCCCAGCCATTACTGACCACCGTGGAGCTCGGGTCTAGTGGACACTTGGGCACTAAGATGGCAAATCTGAAATCTGAGTGCCACAACAGCAGCAGCTGCTACAGCCCAGCAGGGAACGGGAGGGACTTGTTGAGCAGGTATTGGGCAGACCAAGCAGCTGCTCAGAGAGAATCACCAATTTGTGCTGTTCAGGGAAACTCTCCATGCTGGTAATTCACGTTTTAAAAAAAGCCACCATCAAGGAAACAAGAAGTGGAAAAAGAGCCTAAGTGAAAGGAGTGAAATGGGTCCGAGGGCTTTGCAAAGTATGGCTCTAGATCCCCAACAGCTCCTGAATTTTGGAAACAAAATGGGTTAGGCCTTCATCTCAATGTGGTGTCAGTTTTGGAAAATCACTGGAACTTGGATGTTGAAGCTGATATCAACCCTTTGGACAAGACCCCTGTTGTATGGACCACACACTGTGCTGCTGTGTACTGCTCCTCTGAATAAAGCTAGGCTAGGCTAACATCAGCCAGCTGAAACCCTGGTCAAGTGGGAACGGGGGCTCTTGTCCATGCTCTCAGGGTCCTGTCCGTGCTGAAGGATTCCCAAGCCCAGAGACCTAGCTCTAAAAGTGGTCCTGTACGAAGGGTTTCTGACATGGCTTAGACAACCAGCTCCAGGTCCATATGAGGGTAGTTCTGTTCCCAAGTCCCTTCTGCTCCAAGTTGCAGAGCGCCAGATGGGGAGGCTGAGCACAAGTACAGCCCAGTGCCCACGGCTTGCAAAGGCAGAGCTGGGAGCGGATGATCTTTCCCACTGCCTTCCTTTCCCAGTTGTCGTCCTGGTGCTGGAAGTTTGATCTCCAGGCTGGGCACAATCCAAGTCTCTGATGGCTGCTCTAGGGCCAGGGACAGCTACTACCAATCGCTAGCAGGCTTCAGCACAGTCCATGCACAAAGAGAACAGAACAGAAGAGGAACCAGATCCTCAGCTGCTGCGAGCTGGCACTCTTCCATGGCCTGCACCAACAGAGCTTCTCATGCAGCCAGGACCGCGCTGTGCTGGGCTCTGCTGGGTCCAGGAATAAGGAGAACACGTTTGCTTCTCTCCTAAGCCAGCATTTCCGAACCGGTCTCTGACAGGCAATGCGGTGGCCAACACCTCCGAGACGCAGAACATCGTGTCAGGCACTAGCGTGAGGCTGCTGGCTTCTCTGAGTCTTGGTTTTAACCTCTCTGTGCTGCAGTTTCCTCTCGGGTGTGACAGGAATAGAGGTTTGTGTCATGGGGATGAAGATGGGTGGTGGGGTCTCTGGATGAAGAAGGCAAATAGTAACTAGTATTTTTTTCTACATTACTTCACCACAACGAAGATGCCACGTTAGTAACGCCGCGTTACGAGATGGCTCTAGCAATTCGGCAACGCAAGCAGCGTTGGGCTGCTGTTGGCTGCGGGATGGGGCTTCCTGCCCCCCTG